ACACACACACACACACACACACATATATATATATGGTAAGTAATATGTCCTGTTGTAAAGTGAGGGGTGTATACAGTGAGTGCCTCAGGAAGACCATGGGGTAAGTTTATTTGGGGGTAAGAATTAGGAGCATACTTTTAGACCCTCAGAAAGTAAAGCTTAAGTTGTAATATTGCTTTAAAATAAATATATGCCTTTTTTCAAACAGTATTTCACATTATTCACATCTTTCCATTCTCATTCTGTAATTCCCCCAAAAGATTCAAATGAGGAGAATTCATCTTCCATCTTTCCTTATGGAGAAACCTTTCTCTTCCAGAGACTAGAAACTCCCAAGGTTTGTTTTATACATTTTAATTTTTTTTCCATATTATTTGCTCTTTCGCCTATATTTTCTGCTTCATTTTCCTGTAAGCTTTTTGAAGACTGTGTTATGTTGAAGAATGAAAAGTTTTAGTTAGTAAAATTCTGTTCAGTAAACTCATGATACATTTTTACATTTAAATGTAAATATCACATGATAAATATCACAAAAACATTTTCAGTTTGATTTCAGGAATAAGGGTCAGTGGGTTTTTAAAGTTTTCTGCAAGAGAAGTTACTTTAAAAAAAAAAAGAGCCTGGCCGGGCGTGGCTCAGCGGTTGAGCGTCGACCTAGGATCCAGGTGATCGGGGTTCAATTCCCGGTCAGGGCACATGCCCGGTTGTGGGCTCGATCAATGACTTTCTCATCATTGATGTTTCTGTCTCTCTCTCTCTGCCTCTCCCTTCCTCTCTCTGAAGTCAATAAAGATATATTAAAAAAAAAAAAAAGAAAAACATAAAAAGCAAAAGCAAACAACCCCCCCAACCCTCCCCACCTCTGATGTTGCTTTGCTTTGTACCCAAATATAGACTTTTAACTAGTTACATAACTTAATTATTCAGTTTATCACTTTTTCTTTTCAGTGCTTGTACTCTTTCGCCATTTTATTTCTTGGTCATGATAAAAGAGAAGTTGAAGGACAAAAGTATTGGGAAATTAGAAATAAATAAATTTTATTCTTGGTCAGCATATTGTTGTTCTTAGTTGAAATGCTGAGTTATTAATGATTGAAATTAAATATTGAAAAATGTATCCGGAGGCTACTGTTTAATGTAGTCTCCCTAATTAAATTTTTTTTTAACTGAAAATTGATCTAAGCAATTAGACATTTGGTTAATAAAACTAAACCCACATATTGTGGATCTTTGTAGAGTATTGAAAACCTAAAAAAGTCTCTGTGTTTTTTTTTAATAGAAGAAGTCTATAAGGAATGAATTCTGGACCCATGAAGAAACACTCAAAGGGGGAGCAACAACTGAAAGAAATTCTTTTTGCATCAAACCAAGGTATGAAGTGAGAATGAATTCTTTTGAATAAAATGTTCTTCAGTATTGACCATCTTACTCATATTATGTTTCTAAGAAAATAGTTTATATGGGTAAGTTCAAATCTTTCCTTTTTAAATGTATCGATAACTCATTTTTTAATACTTATTTAGAGTCTGCAAAACTACTGTGTTCTGTGGCAGATTATTTTGGTCTTTCTCTAATTGAAACCACTCTGTCCTCCCAAAGTGACAAATACGTGGTAACTCTGACTGCAGTTTAAGGACTGAAGTTAGCTGATGTGAAGGAGAGAGAGCAGCGCAAAGAATGTCACCCTGTGTTTACAAGTGTAACTTAGTGTCCTTTTTGTTGGAAGTTCAGCATGGACAAGCGGCTAGACAATTACCCACCTATTTGCATCACACATGAAATTAAACAGGATTTCTAAGGCTGCAACTTAAATTTTGTTTTTCCTCTCAGCTTTACTGGGACTTGGTGTACTTTCATTACTTAACACCCGTTTTATCTTCTGTCTTATCCATCATTTCCCAAGGCTAACACTGTTGAGTTCCTTAAGTTGAAACTAAGCTTAAGGAAAATACTAAAACTTAAGGAATGTATTAAAATACTAATTGTATGTCTTCAGCGAGCGTTTGATTTGAACCTGTTATAATGCAGAATGTGGAAGAAGCCAAGCCAAATCATTCTTTAAGGAGGCATTGGTTTTTAGAACCCTGTATCCACAAGGACGTCATTGGACCTCAAGCACATGTTTTATTGATTAGAAAAAAACAAACACACCTTCTTTGTAATGAGTTTTATTATACATAAATTACTCAGTGACTCTGTTTTGTCATTCCTTGAATTTATAGCAATATGCTTAGCTATTATGAGTGTGTTCCAATAAATATTATATGCTACACAGCTCTTCTTAGTGTACCCCTGACCCTTTCTCATTTTCTAGCTAGCAGTGTGGTCTGGTTTTTCCTCATTAGTGTTGCAAAGTAATACTAAAGCTCTGGTCAGTCAGACTACTCCCTGGTCTATTAGGCTGTGATGGACCATAGCGTCCTGGGAGTCCGTTAGTGGAGAGGCAGAGAAAAGGCAACAGGTTTAGAAGAAAGATCTACAGAAAGATAAGTTAGCCCTTCCCTATATTGCCCAGGGACTAGAGGTTGGGCTGGTCATGTAATGATGCCGGTGAAGATGTTTAAATTGTGATGCAAAGAATAGTCCCTCTCCATCCTTACCGCCTGTACTCAACCCCCAAACTAAATAGATAGGATTAAATGATATGTAAGAAAAAATATACTACTTCTAGTAGTGTTCAGTATGTCTTAGGATATTGAGAGATTTGTATTTAATTATTCTGGAAGAGTTTTAAAAATTACCAGATGGATTAATTGAATTCTAAGATTTTTCTGGTCTTACGTTTCTGCAATGGGTTGTTTATAAATTTAAAAAAAATAACCAGCGGCTTAAATGACATTTAGTACTTTGAAATGTTTACACTATTTTTTTCTGTTTAGCATATATGATAACAGGAAGGAGGCTGTAAGTGAAGACAGAGTGGAAGATATTTGGATACCTCGAGAGGACAAGAACAATTTTCCCGTAGACTGTGCTTCAGATTCAGAATACTCAACAGTGGAAGAATGCTTTCAGAGTTTAAGAAGAAAAAATTCAAAAGCATCTAAATCCAGGACTCAAAAAGCATTGAACTTGGACCCTGTTAATAGGCACAGTTATCCCTTAAGCTCAACCAGTGGAAATGCTGATTCATCAGTCCCTTCCTCAAGCGCAATCTCTCCTTACGCCTGCTTTTACGGGTCGTCTGCGAGGAAGGTTAAATCGGGATGGCTAGACAAACTCTCTCCTCAAGGGTATGTATTTTTCATTTATTTTAATAAGTAGCATATTTTGAAAAATTCAGGTTTATCCATCTCTAAACCTGCTAGGTTGCTGCTACTCCCGGCTCCCTCCCCTCCCCTCCCTGTGCCCAGATACAGTTTTTCAGGACTTTGAACAGGCTTTTGCAAATGCTGCTGTTCAGATGTAGGAGGAGCGTGGAGTGCACTAAATGGGATGCTGGGTTAAGGTGCTGAATAGCAGAGTAACGCTGGAAGCTATGATTGCACCTCTGGAACCTTAAGGCTAGTTTCTTATTTTGCACCAAAACATGCTACCCTGTGTCCCAATCTGTAGCAAAGAAAAACGCCACAGATTGAATTAGTATTACTCAGCCCACACTGTTTGGCTTTTGCTCATCTCATAACAGCATTCTGTTTGGGAATACAAGGCTTATTGTAGTTAAGGGAAAGCAGGTCATTGTTAGATTTCGGGCGTCACTGTTATTGATGCATTGTTTTGATTTTTGTATGTCGTACAGGTCACAGTCCCTTGAATATTATACTTTTAAAGGAGACTTACCATTTCTGTTTACAAAGAGTCTTCTTCCCTTAAGCATTTTATATTACTGAGAAATCTTTGGGGAGGGATTATGTGTAATTAGAATTGTTTTCTGGCATTTTGATTTTTGGATGTTGTTTTGCAATATTTATTCGAAATGTTCCTCATGAATTATTTAGTTATTTTTGGGTTAAACCTCTCCTGTTTAAGTAATTAATGTGGTAGATCTCTACAATGTGCTGGTTTTCTCTGCTATTCCCCCCCAAAACGTGCATCATTTTTAGGAAGCCTTGGTTTGACGTAAAATAAATTTTATTAGCAAATAATTACCAGAAGAAGTATCAGTTGACTAGCAGGAGCAGGAAGTGCATGTCTTACGGGAACCAAAAAACCACCAACACTTTGATGGCTTTAATTATATGGTTAATACTTCATACAATTGCATCCTTTTAGCAAATTAGATGTTGAGTAAACCGAAGCCCAGTACTTCTTAGTATCAATTACTTTGTCTCACTTCTTTCTGGTTACATTAGGATGATAAAGTAGATGGCTGTGTCTACTTTTCATCGCCATCAATATTATGTGTAAATGGCAAATGTATGAGTCAGCACTCAAATATGCACACTGGTGGAACGAAACAGTGCGTTAGAATATTCTCAGATCTTTCATTTCTGTAAAATTAAGTGCTTGGGGAGATCCAAGCGCTCTCTCAAAATATCCCTGGAAGGTTTAGCAGAGTTGGTACAGAGCCCTCAGCAGCTGTGGTTTCCTGCGTAATCCCTGGTGGCACCTTGCTCTCCACTGGGTTGGTGTGTTTATGCTCCAGGCACACTGAGAAAGCTCTACCATCGTTGGCTCCCTCTGGGACAGTTAGAGCATTTTCTCCTTTCTCTTTGTCAGAACCTTGACTTTTCATTCTTTCTATTCTGAACCTGCCTAGGGTTAGATGCTGTAAGTTCTCTAGATTGATATTTTTCCATTTTAGGGGAAGTAATTGAGTTTTCTGGCTTACATTTTTTTCTCTCCTGAATACCAGCAGGAATGGACATAAGAAAGTAAACAAAGGAGCTTGTTATATCACCAAGAAATTAAAAAAAAAAAAAAAAATTCTCCGTGATTATATTCCTATGACTGGAGAGAAATATGTGTGAGTGGCCAAGAAGCATGTATTTATTAGACCAGAAGTAGAATCTGAATTTTTCTTTTCCTATTTATACTCTGGCCATTGGGAGGGTGTCTAAGATGCTCATTAGTTAGATAAAAGATGCCTCCCCATTCCTTACGCAGAGGTTACTGAGCTGTGTTTAACTCATGGTCACATGCCCATTTGGTGCAGGTAGCACTGATTTAGATGACATTCTAAATTCCAAGAGAAGTTATTAGCAAACTTATTCTGTAAATGGTCAGATAATACATATTTTAACCTTTACAGCCATTTGATCTTTATGGGACATCAGCAACTCAGCAGTTGTAGTGTGAAAGCAGCCATAGAGAACATGGAAACCAATGAATGAGGCTGTTTCAATGAAACTTTATTTATAAACACAGACAGTGGGCCAGATTTGGCCTGTGGGCCATAGAGGCACAAAACAGATTGGATGCTTGGTTAAAATTATTTTTTCTTTTCTTTTTTTTATATCTTTATTGATTTTAGAGAAAGGAAAGGAGAGGGAGAGAGAGAGAGAGAAACATCAATGATGAGAGAGTCATTGATCGAGCCCACAACCCGGGCATGTGCCCTGACTGGGAATCGAACCCTGATCACCTGGATCCTAGGTTGACGCTCAACCGCTGAGCCACGTCCGGTCAGGCAAAAATCTTATACCAGCTTCCTCCATCTCCCCTGGGCCCCAGATACAAAATTCTCACTTGATAGATCACAAAACAGGGAAACCACTTTGTATTATTACACTATAAATATGGAAGTAATAACAAGCAGGAGCCCTCCTCATGGACCTTTGCGCTTGTTCTGTCTGCCTGGAATGCTCTTACCCAGAGAGCAGCAGGGCTTGGACCCTACCTTCCTCAAGTTCTTGCTATAATGTCTCCTTTGCTTTGAGGCCCCAAACACCAAATTTAAAATGATCCCCCTCCCCCCCCCATTACTCCCTTAGTTACTTTAGTTTTCTCTGAGGGGCTCTATAGCAGATGATATATTTATTTCATATATGCTCCACGGGGACAGCATCTAAATTGGCTTTTGTTTACTGCAGTATCCTCTGTAGCTGGAACGTTGCCTGGCACTTGGTAGACACTTTTAATATTTGTTGCTGAATGAATCAGTAAAAAACCTAGCATTAGACATAATTTTTTCTTTAAATTTTTCTAAAACAGTTAATTTTATTTATGGGGATTTTGTAAAACAGAACTCTGAACTAATGAAAATCTGCAGGTGCCATTGGTGACGTGGGTATACATTACCAGAGCAGTGGCCTCTCAGTGTTCTTTTTTTAATTCTGTTTCCCCCTTAGAGACACTTGTGTTGTCAAAACACAGTTTAAAAACAAATAGCTACACTCAGTTATCCTTCTCCAAATATTGTTTGAAACTGTTCTCAGTCATGAGTGGCATTAAACAGAATAATCAAATTCATAATCTGGATTTATTTCTCATGGTTGAGTGTCTGTTTGCTTTTGAAATGGAAATGCCAGTTCTGAATTGATGAACAGTATGTAAAAACCACCAAATATTTAGTAAGAAAATAATTCTGTTACATTGTACAGCTAGAGAAATACTGAAACATTTCCAGTTGAGCTTTAAGTGTGAAATTTACTTAAATATTTGAATGATCTAATTATAATGTAGCCTGATACTATTGGTTTACAAAACTGTATGGAAGAAACTTGATAAAGTGTCGAACTTGGGTTTGTTATTAGTGTTTCAAATAATGCAAGCAGATGAAAAACTTAATAAATCGTACCTGTTTTTAAAAACTCACTGAGTTTTGAGGATAAAAAAACAAATCTGTCTCCCTCCCCTTTTCTAGCTCTAAATAATGTCAAGTGTTTCAGTAAATCTGGACAGATACAAATATGAAAGATTGGGTGTAATTTATTCTAGTGTTTTCCAAATACATAATTCAGAGGAAGAATCCTACAAGTTGCTGTAAAAAAGGGGAACATGGTGTAATGTCTGTCCCCTGTATAGGAGATGCACATGTCAAAATATCCAAGAATATCTGCAATAAGGAGACTCTTTTGACTTTAACTTACTGTTTTCTAACAATGTTTGTGTGTCCAGCATGACACACTGAGCATATTTATAAAAACTGAAATATATCTCGAGGAATTCATATTTTACTTGACAAGATGTTTTAGGACTTTATTTCTTACTCAGCTAAATTCTCTTTAAAAAAAAAAAAAAAATTACTAGTTTTTTGAACCATGGGGAAACATTATGTGGTTATGTGAGCCTGGGACAGTAGAAGCTGAACACAGGAGACTGATTCAGCAATTTGGATATATATTAGTTAAGAATTTATGGAGGAATAGAAAGATGAGTGAGATGTGTGTGTTCCTTGTCTTTTGTGTGTCTTCCGTTTAGGAAATTAAAAATAAAACCTAGCCCGGCCGGGCGTGGCTCAGCGGTTGAGCGTCAACCTAGGATCCAGGCGGTTGGGGTTCGATTCCTGGTCAGGGCACTTGCCCGGGTTGTGGGCTTGATCAGTGACTCTCTCATCATTGATGTTTCTCTCTCCCTCTCCTTTCCTCTCTCTGAAATCAATAAAGATATATTTAAAAAAAAAAAAAAAAAAAAAGAAACCTAAAGACAGAGTGTGATAATGGTCCAGACAGGCCAGGACGATAGAGTACAGAATCATGAGGTTACAAAGGGGCTGAGAAAACATGTCTTCAAAGACCTTACAGGGAGAAGTAGCTGTTGAGTTGGTCTTTGGGAAATGGATATCTTTTGAACTAGCATTTTCAGATGAAATTCTTTTCTGGCTAGAAGGAGTGAAAGGGCACTGACGTAGGCGGTACCTGGAGGTACTGGAGTCTGTGAGATAGATGGCAGGGTAAGCTGGGGTTATTTTATGGAAGACGCAAGGTTGGGCACTAAGATGAGGAGGGAGAAACTGCCAGTGACTTGCATGTTCTAGTTGGACAGAGGTCTAGGGCAAAGGAAAAAGCCGGTGGTCAAGTACCAAGACAAGGTCAAAGCCCAGACGGTGGCTGGGAGTCAGATCACCCAGAAGCCAGCAGCCCATATTAAATACAGGAATTCTGGAATTCCTGGTGCTTTGGTATTGTACTTCCTGCACCAAAATGCTGATAGAATGTAGCTTTTTCATTTCTGGGAGGTTTCTTCAATTGTATTTTTGAACCCACTTTTGTGTTTTGTCATCCTATGTTTAATTTGGAAAGCAGTTTGTTTCCTTTTTTGGGGGGTGGTGGTGAAGAGTCATTCCTATCTTTTACCTTAGTGATGTTTTCCTCAAATGTCTTGTTAATCTTGGGCTGTTCGTTTCTAAAGT